CAGAAAATAAATCAGGAGAGCTGAGTTCCCATACCAAGTCGGGGAATTACTTTCTATTCAACCTCAAATAAGTCAATTTTTCTCTCTCAACTTCTCCAGTTTCAAAATTAAGGATTCGAACTGTGTAATTTCTAACATTAGCTAAAAAAAATTGATTTGCAAAATAAAAAGAAAACTTTGGATATATCCCTTCCAGATTAAAGTACTTAACAGCTCTGCCCTGGCCGGTTTGGCTCAGCGGTTAGAGCGTCGGCCTGCGGTCCGGAAAGACCCGGGTTCGGTGTCCGCTAAGGGCACGTACCTCGGTTGCAGTTTCTCCCCTGCCCTGGTTGGTTGTGCGGGTGGCGACCACTCGATGTGTCCCTTTCACATCGATGTTTCTCTCTCTCTGTTCCTCTCTCTCCCTCCCACTCTATCTGAACAAAGAATGGAAAAATGTCCTCCGGTGAGGATGATTAAAAAAAAAAAAAAAAACAGCTCTGGACCTCCTTTTCTTGTGGTTTTGTTTGTTTGTTTTTCCATAAGCAAAACGTGGATGAGATGCATTTCTGAAGTACTTACTGGCCACTAGCACTTGCAATGGAGAAACAGCTGAAATGCTGAGGTCACATGAACAAGCAAAGGCCTGTGGAGCTAGAAAATGCAAGTCAGGCAGGTTCTAAGAAGGCTTTTATTTCTTCTTCACTTTTGAAGGACAATTTTGCCTGATATAGGATTCTAGGTTCATGGGGGGGGGGGGGGGCGGTTCTTTTAACACTTTAAATTTTTCACTCCACTGCCTTCTTGCATGATTTCTGACCAGTTATCAACTGTAATTCTTCTCTGTTTATCTATAGGTAAGATCGTTTTTTCCTTCTGGCTTCTTTCAAGATTTTCTCTGACTTCGGTTCAAATAAGATATACGTAGGTGTAGATTTTTGGTATTTATGCTGCCTGATATTCTCTGAGTTTCCTGAATCTGTGGTTTGTTGACTGTCATTAATTTTGAAGCGTTCTTAGCTATTATTGTTTCAAATATTTCTCCATTCTCTTTTTTTTTCCTCCTTCTGGTATTCCAATTTTACATCTTTTGAATTTTTCCCAGAGTTCTTGGATATTCTTTTAATTTTTTTTCTCTTGCATTTCAGTAAGGATGTTTCTGTTGACCTATCTTTAAACTCACTGATTCTTTCCTCAGCTGTGTAGTTTACTGATGAGCCCATCAGAGGCATTCTTTGTTACCGTTTTTCCACCCAGCATTTCCTTTTCACTATTTCTTAGTTTTTTTAAAATTTTTTTTTATTGATTTCAGAGAGAGAAAGGGAGAAGGAGAGAGAGATAGAAGCATTGATGAGAGAGAAACATCCATTGGCTGCCTCCTGCATGCCCCACACTGGGGATTGGGCCCACAACCTGGGCCTGGGCCCTGACCAGGAATCGAAATGGCGACCTCTTGGTGCACGGGTCGACACTCAACCACTGAGCCACACTGGCCAGTCTTAACATATTATTTTAAATTCCCTATCTGATTACTTCAACATTTGTGCCATATCTGAATCTGATCCTGATACTTACTTTATCTCACCAGTCTGTCTTTTTCCCTTGCCTTTTTTAGCATATGTGTTTTTGTTGAAAGTCAGCCACTGCCCGGCTGGTGTGGCTCAGTGGTTGAGCATTGACCCATGCACAAAAAGGTCACTGGTTTGATTCCCTGTCAGGGCACATGCTCAGGTTGTGGGCCAGATCCCCAGTACTGGGGGCATGCAGAAGGTGGCCAATTGATGTTTCTATCTCTCTCCCCCTCTCACTCTCCCTCCCTCTCTCTCTCTCTCTAAAGATCAATAAAGAAAAAAAAAATTTTTTTTTTTAATTAGAAAGTCAGATACTGTTGGCTGTGTTGGGTAATAGGAACTGAAGTTAAAAAAGCCTCCAGTATGTGGTTTATGATCATCTGTCTAGGAGTTGAGCTGTGTTTAATGTTTGCTGTAGCTGTAGGTGCCAAAGGCTTCAAATTTCTCTAGCCTTTGTTTTTACCTCCCCTCTTGACTTTGGGCTTCCTTAGACAGTCCTCCTCAAAGAGTTTGTATTTTGTAGCTCTTGTAGCTGTAACCCATTGGTCACTGGAGCCCTGTTGCTGTGTTGGGGAGAGGAATTGGTCTATAATCTTATGATAAAATCTCAGTATTTTAGTAAGCTTGTGTCCCTGAGCTGTGACCTTCATAAGTATTTTGTTATTTTTTTTTAATCCTCACCTGAGGATATTTTTCCATTGATTTTTAGGTAGAGTGGAAGGGAGGGAGAGGGAGAGAGAAACACCAATGTGACAGAGACAAATCAATTGGTTGCCTCCCACACGACCCCGACTGGGGCCAGGGATTGAACCTGCAACTCAGGTACACACCTTTGATCAGAAATCAAACCCTAAACCTAGGGGCCAAGGCTCTAACTGCTGAGCCAAACTGGCCAGAGCCATAAGTGTTTCTTATCCTTCTCTGTGATACTGTAATATAATAAATATATATATTTGGCCTTTGTTCCTGGTTAGAGCTTTGAAAAGCCTATAATATCCTTAATGAGATAGGAGCATCTTCTGTCATAATCTCTGGGTTTTGTCCCTATTCCTGAAATGGGTCTGGAGAGATAAAAGTGAAAGGAGCATCTTTTGTTATCCATAACAATCCCCTGGTCAACACTAGTTTATGCAAATGAAGTGACTTTTGGAAAACCTAAAGAGACTTTCGGCCCCATGCTCCCCTCCCCCCACTTCTGATTTCCTGGGAGGGAACGTGTTAGAGGTTGAGTTAATCTGAGTTAATCGCTAATGACCAACGATTTAGTCAATCGTGCCTATGTAATAAAGCTTCCATTAAAATAAAAAATTTTTAAAAACCTAACTATAAAGGGCTTGGGAGAGCTTCTGGGTTGGTGAACACACAGTGCTAGGAGAGGGGTGTTCCCAGAGAAGGCATGAAAACTGTGCACCCTTCTCCTCCCATAGTGGGAACCCCCAATTTATAGCTAGTGGGTCAGAAGTACCAGAGGCTTGCACTTGCAAATGGGATCTGAAATGGGGGCAGTCCTGTGGGACCTGACAATAACTCGATAGATAGGGTCAGGATTGAATTAAATTGTAGGACACCTGGCTGGTGTCAAAGACTTGATCAGCAGAGGAAAAAGCCCATACATACATTTAGTGTCAGAAGTGTGTGAGTAGTGGAGTTTATAGAACCAGAGTTTTCTTTTACCTTCCCCCACTTAGATGACAGGAAGGAAAGAGGGGGGTGAAGTCGGTGAAATATCCTTTCCCCAGGTAGGCTTAGATACTGGTAAGATCTTTTTCGCAACGATTCCTCTTCCCCTTCCCTTGCCAGAGCCACCCTGGAGGGGTTCCTGAGGTAAAACCCCTAACAGTCTGGGATCGCCCTTAAGCCATGGCCCCCAGGAGTTTCTCCCTCTCGCACTAGTCCATACTCAGTATCTAGCAATTCATCAGAATGTTCCTAACAGCTATGGTTCCTGTGGCTTCTGCTCCAAGTAAGCAAGCAAACCTTGGGTGTAGTGCTTTCCAGATCTGAGGATGGCTGTTTGCTCTACAAACTCAGTTCTCTGATGGATCCAAGAAAAGTCACCGATTTTCTATTTGTTCAGCTTTTTCTTGTATGGACAGGGGTGACAACTTCCAAACTTTTTCTGTGCCTGAGCTGAAACCAGAAGTCTGTTCTGAACTGTTTTTAAACTGTGTTAGGCTACTTAAAGAGTTTTAGGCAGAAGAGTTTTTGATCTTAAAGTCCACAGGAGGAGCTTCGTAAGGATGAAATACCCCATCCCACATCAGAAATATGAGTATGCATATAGAGTAGGCCAGGGCAGTTTTAGGTTTTGGAGTCAGATGGACCTGAGCTGGAATCCCAGTGGTATAACCCTGATCCTGCTTAATCTCACACCACACTCATTTTTTTCATCTGTAAACTGGGGTTGTTGGGAAGATTAAATGAGATAATCCATGCATAATACTTAGCATTCTGTCTGGCCCACAGTAAGCACTAATTATCTCCTCCTGGTCTAGTAATCTACACAGGTCCTGGAAAGTTGTTTCAAAGGCTCAAGGGATGCCAATATCAGAAACCCACTCAGCAGCTCCTAACCTGCCCATTCCTGCCACTTTTGGGCAAGACACAATGCTGGAGCATTCCTATTGTGCCTGACCCAGATCAAACCCTCCTTGCTACTTAGGGCAAAGTGGATCTGGCAGACCAGATTTGAAATGTCATTCCAGCCCTGGCCAGTTTGGTTCAGCTGTTAGAGCATCAGCCGCAGACCAGAAGAGTCCCGGGTTTGATTCCCGCCAGGGGCACATACCTCGGTTGCAGTTCATCCCCGGCCCCAGATGGGGTCATGTGGGTGGCAACCACTCAATGTGTCTCTCTCACATCAATGTTTCTCTCTCTCTCTCTTTTTCCCTCTCTCCCTCCTGCTCTATCTGAAGATAAATACAAAAATGTCCTCAGGTGAGGACAAAAAAAATTGTCATTCCACCACTGATTGGCAGTGTTACCCAAGCCAGGCTCACCTCTTTCAACCCATTTCGTCGTCTGTCAGATGAATACCCAAGTAAATACCTCACAGGCCTGCTGGTAGAATTAAATGAACAATGTGTGAATATGTAGCAATATCTGGCACAAATGGCAGCCAAAGGTTTCAACCTTGCTGGGCCTGTTTCTTCCAGTGTGAAACAGGGATAAGAGGATTGCAAATGGTTTTACACTGTGCTTGTGTAAAACAATTCATTCCGTCAACACTGCAGAAATAACTGGGGATAAGGGCAGAACTGGAACTCACAGTTATCCCAATAAGAGCCCAGTGACCTTTATTCTGTCTGGAGTCCTTAAGCAAACAGGTAAAACAGGAGCTAGGGCTATCTTCTGATACTCAGGCCATTAAGAAAGTGGGGAAGGAATGTTATCTGGTGACTCCCATGCAACACGCATGCACACATACACATACACACACCCCAACCACTAATATCTGTTATTTTATTATTTTTTTAAAAAGGTTTCAATACCAGGCCCCAATGCATGCAAATCAATGTCTCCATCATTGTCAGATGACCAGCATAATCTGCTACCACAGACTGTAACCTGGTAAAGAGACCACTTCCTCACTTTGAGACCCAAGCTAACCATATGAATGTCCAACCTACCACATGGCTCATGATGACTCAGGTACATTTTAGTATCTGAACAGCAAAAACACATTGAGCTGCAAATACACTGAGTAGGTGTCCTTAGTGTATTAGACAGGTAAAAATACAAACAAGGCATAAAAAGGAAAAGCCAAAGTCTTTTCCATATATGATCTGTTTCTAGGGCGATCTGCCAATGCTATATCAAGAACTTGCTCATTTTTTGATGGAGGGTACCATTTATCTTGAAGGACTGCAGGAAGGGTGAAATATTCACGAGTCAAGAACTTGAAGTTATAGTTGCAATTCAAAGGCCATCTTTTTCCTGATATTAATCTACCTCTATAAATCCAACTGTGTACCTATGTGAATTCTGGGAAATGGTACTGCTGAGGGATAGAATTCTAATTCCTATCACGTCTATGATTATAGGAGAATATAGCCACAGAAGAATTAAATGAAAGGATACATGGAAGAGTGCAGTCATGGAAGAATTCAATCACATCCCAGTGCCTTAGTTCGGTTTAGAATATTGTCTTTTTTTTTTAGTTTTAAAAAATGTTTATGTGCAATGCTCTTAGTTACTTACAGATTGCTACCTATGGTTGATTTCAAGGAAAGGGTATGTTTAGTAAACTAGTTTTAACTGAAACCAACAGCTAATTAAAAGATATATTCTCATAAGAAAAATAATTATGATGAAAAGCAACATTTAGCAGCACTTAGGAACTACCTGCTTTTCGGTGGAGAGAGCTTCCTCCTCTTCAGTCAGACAGAAATGACAGACTGAGCAGGGAGGAGCCATCTATGAAGCCCTCCAGGAGTACAGCATGAAGGGCACGGACCTCAAGGAGAAATGATGCCTGTACAAGGCAGCATTTTAAATGCCTGAATGCCAACTTCCCAAATCTACCATGACAGCATGGTTGGTACTGGCTGACATTAGTAACCCACTCACGTTCCTTTGTGAACAGAACCCAAATGCAACGGGTCTTCCACACACCTTTCACCAACTCCCCATTCCCACATCCCTATACACTACCTTTTCTTTCTTTTTTTTTTAGTACGTGCCCTAGTGGGAACCGACCCCGGGACTCTCTGGTCCGCAGGCCAACGCTCCAACTACTGAGCCAAACTGGCCAGGGCTACACTACCTTTTCATTCAACCCAAAGATCCAGTGGGTGCTAAAGAAATGTAGTGTCAACATAAATACAGATTATTTTTATACCACAATATTTTCAAACATTTTAACAGGAGTCTTTCCAGAATGTAACAAAATGAATTTTAGCCCTCACATCAGTAACCAGTGAGAGTATGACCCAGAGTTAGTTAAGGGGTATAAAGTGACTAGTGGTCAGTTATTGTCCATTAATTAACAAGTTTGTAATTACAGGAACTCTACCCAGAGCTGAGCACACTTGGGTATCATGATGTCAGATGTCAGTTAAGGGTTATGTTCCTGTAAACCAAAGCACCAGAACTAAATTAACATTCCCTTTTTGCCCTTAGTTGGTGAAGAGTTCAAGTACTGCCGTGCTACTAGAATGGTCCTGGGTTGTGCTTCTTCAAATGTTTCAGTTTCGTGATGCTAAACATTGGAAAGAATATATCTCACCAGTGCCCCAGGTCTGGACAGGATGAACAAAAAGGAAAGGCTAATCAACTAGCCTTGGAAACTATTTTGATTTACCTTCTGACATAGGGAAGCTTCTATTCTCTGATAATGTTCCACAAAAGCTTCCTGATCACCAATTCCTAAATTACAGACTGGGTCCTCTTAAAAAAATCCCAGGTACAAGTCATTTTGCCAAAGTTCTAGGAGGTTTCTCTAGGGTCAATTGTTCCAGTAGTCAGAGAGAACAGAGCAACATTTGGGTGGAGACTCTTCTCCTAAATAATACTAGTTTGATCAACCAAAAAGTTTACCACTTCTATTTTCTAAAAAGCTCATGATCAGACTACAGTGATACCTCAGTACTGGGAGTTTAACTTCCTAAAAGAGACAAACAAGAATTTTAACTGAGAGGAAAACACCCTGGTGAAACCTCATCCCCATCACCCTCTCTTAAAAAGAGGTGCTGGGCTCTCCTGGGTCTAAAGTAGTACCTTCCTAGCAATACCACCCCCTTCCATTGCACAGGCAGGATATACCCAGCAGGGCAGAGGAAGATCCAGTGAAAGGAATCCACAGCCTAATGGGGTCAGACTCCTACCAGAGGAGAGTTCAGTTTAAAGGAATCCACCTTGTAAGTCTTAGCTAAAGGAAGGGCCATATATAAGGTTGCATAATGACCAAAGAATAGGCAGGAACAAATGGACCCATGAGGTGCACAGCAGGACCCAACAGAAATGCATTTAGTTATATCTCAGTACTGAAAATTTAAAGTCCCCTCTAAAGGGAAAACCCAATTTACAAAACAAAACAAAACAAAACAAAACAAAACAGGAAAAACAGCAAATGAATGCTGATTCTTCCTGTTCTAGTTCCCATTTTAGTTTTCAATTGTAGTGGAAAAACCTCCAAGTGCACAGCAGATTTCCTCCCCTAACCTGTGTGCACCTTACTTCTCATCCTTCCTCCTTCCCATCAATCTCACCAACCTGCTCCTGCTCCACTGGCTCCTGCCAGGCCCCTAGACCCAAAGGTGCCCTATCTATCCAGTGATCAGCCAGTGCCCCCCTTCTGTTTGGCCAGGGTACGCTTCAGTTCTCTCAGGTTCTCTGTCAGCACCTCCACCTCATCCAGGCGACCACACTGCTTGGCATCAAAGATGTACGCCTTGATGTTATCAATCTGCTGGAGGAGGAGTTCCTCCTCTATGGGCTCCTCACCCTCCGGCTCACTGTCACTGTCCATCTCGAAGGGATTGGTACAGGTGGCTTCCTTGAAGGGGTTGCCAGGAACAGGAGGGCTTGAGGGCCTCTGGTGAGGATGCTCATCTTCCTCATTGAAAGGGTTAGGGGCTGGGCTGTCTGAGTAAGTGAAAGGATTCCCTGCCACTGCCACCACTTCCTCCTCTTCCTCAAAAGGATTGTATTCTTTGAGAATGAGGGATGATTGGCCAAAGGCAGGCTCTGCAGCAGGAGGGCTGGTAGAGCCCTCTGCTGTGGGGCTAGAGAAGTCTTCCTCATCAAAGGGATTTAGGGAGGGCACCTCGTGTTGCTGTGACATGGTGCTCTGGCCATGGAATTCCTGGTCAAGAACTGGGGGCCCAGACCACACTCTGATAGGCTCAAGAGCTGAGCTGGGTGAAGAAATCATGGGAGTTGCACTGCTCTGAACTGGGGAAGAGCCCAGATCCAAAGCATGAGCAAGATGGGTGCAAGGCTCTGTGCTGGGCTCCAGCTGAAAAGGCCTGATTTCTCGGAAGTCCAGAGACCGGGTCCGTGTGTGCAGGGATGCCGCCTGGATCTGCTCCCTTTCTCGTTCCCACTCCCGTTCACGCAGCATCTGCAGCTGTTCCCGCTGCAGGTCCTCCTCCTCAGCCTGCTTGCGGGACAGCTCAATGGCCTTTTCTGTCTGCTGCTGGTCATACTCATCCTGCAACTGCCGCAGGTTCTCCTGTAGGGTGCGTACTTCATCTGTCCGGCCTGCGGCCTTGGCCTGCCTGATAAATGATGTGATGTTGTGTATCTGCTGGAGGAGGGGGTCCAACTCTTCACTCTGCCCCTGACCTCCTGACAACGGGAGCCAGCCCTCAGCCTTTCTCAAGGGGGCAGGGCCCCTTCGAAGGGATGCCACCTCCCCGTTGGCACGATATGGCAGGTCACTCCACCTTTCTTCAAGCCTTCGCTGGGACTCCAAGGAAGCCTGGGAAGACATCAAACCCAAAGAGAAGAAACAAAGTCACCAGGCCAACAGCAGCCACACCATCAGCTGCCCTCTGCATTCTTGCTATCTCTGTATTCATGAGACTCCAAATGCCCACTTCAGGACTAAGAGAGCCAACTGCTGTCCGGCTGGTGTGGCTCAGTGGATTGAGGGTCGTCCCATGGACTAAGAGGTCCCAGTTCGAATCCTGGTCAGGGTACATGCCTAAGTATCAGGCTCCATCCCCAGTCGGGGGCATGCAGGAGGCAGCCGACTGATGTATCTCTCTCACAATGATATTTCTATCTCTCTCTCTAAAAAAAAAATCAATAAAAACATATTAAAAAAAAAGAGAGAGAGAGAGAGAGAGAGAGAGAGCGCGCCACCGCTAAAATCAAACCATGCTTTTGTTTTAGGGCAGAGGTGGGGAATATCTGGCCTGTGGGCAGTATAATTTGCCTCACCAAATTAACCTGACCATATATAACAGGCTAATTTTTAAGTTGATAATGTTGCATGACCCACAAATAATGTTATAAATATTCAAAAGGCCCTAGGCAGAAAAAAGGTTCCCCACCCCTGTTTTAGTGGGAGAGGAGGGACAAACCCTGATTTTCAAAAATAAAATAATAACAGTAAGTTAAAGGATAACATTTTCTCAGTTTTAGATCCACTGACCATAATACTTTTTCCCCCCTTTATTGATTTTACAGAGGGGAAGGGAGAGGAAGAGAGACAAAAAACATCAATGAGAAAGAACATTGACTGGCCTCCTCCTGCATGCCCCGCACTGGGGATTTGACCCAAAACCTGGGCAAGTGCCCTGACTAGGAATCAAACCAGTGACCTCTTGGTGCATGGGTTGATGCTCAACCACTGAGCCATACCAGCTGAGTCATAACACTTGTCTTAAAGCACTCATCTACACTAGAATCTCACCCAGTATTAAATATACGTATTATTTTCTGTTTAATATTGCATATTCCAAAGTGTTCTACAAAGAACTCCCTGGTGTCTGGGTCCTCTGCAACCTGTAATAGAGCGAGAATGCCTGTCTCGGCATTCTGGACGGGAGAAAACCAGTAGAACCTCTGAAAGAAAAATAGGACTCGCAGAGAAAAACAATTCTGATGTCTACAGATGAGAGTGAGGCCAGAACAAAACAGAAGAAAAGTGGAAACTAGCCCTGGCCGGTTTGGCTCAGCGGTTAGAGCGTCGACCTGCGGTACAGAGAGACCCGGGTTCGGTTCCCGCTAAGGGCACATACCTCGGTTGCAGTTTGTCCCCAGCCCTGGTTGGTCGTGCGGGTGGCAACCACTCGATGCGTCCCTTTGCATCGATGTTTCTCTCTCTCTCTCTTCCTCTCTCTCCCTCCCGCTCTGTCTGAACACAAAAAAAGCAAAAAAAAAAAAAAAAAGAAAGAAAAGAAAAGTGGAAACTAGAGAGAGCAAGAGGTTCTGATTTACAATCTCACAGAACCTCTTGGAAGCCTGTGGAGGCCTCTGTGGTTAAAGAGCCCTAAAGAGGAAGCCAGGTGCCAGAATCTGAGCTTTACTCACCTGTCTTTCTAGGATCTTCTTCCTTTCCATCTCCTCCTTCCTTTTCTTTAGTTCCTCAAACTGTTCTTGAGTTGGCAGTGACATCAAACCAAGCAACTTTTCCTATAGGGAGTTGCAGACAATTTTACATTTAAACCTTTTTAGGAAAAAATAAACCTTAAACCCCGTGGTGAGAGTCCATTTAGGCTAAGCCACTCCATCCTTGGACAGTCACATTAATTAGCAGTAGTAAAAAAAAAAAGACTAAACTCCTAAATTGGGCCAGAGAGTCGCTTCCAAATGGGCCTGCCGGTTCCTTATGAAATGATCAATACCAGATATCCTAGTTGTTCACCTTCTCCATCAGGCCTTTTCCCTGCCCTCCTTGTCTAAATTTGTAAGCCTCCACCCCAGCTTCCTACCACCCTTTCCAAGCTTTATGAGAACAGGAATATTGTCTTTTTGCTCATGGCAGGACATGCAGCAGCTAGAACACTGCCTGGGACACAGCAGGCACTCACCAAATGACTGCGGATTATAGCCACTAATCAAAAGGAGAAAGGGCTTAATTCTCTGGAATACAACGTTGGAAAACTAATTCAACAGGACTCTATTAGATCTCTCTCTCATGGAGCTCCAAAGGTGGTTAAATATGACTCTCTGAGGGGCTTTTGAGGTAGAGACAGCTCCTACCTAACCAACTAGCTTCAGTCTGCCCTTCAACAATGAGCTATTTCCTCCCAACCAATGGCCCAGGAAGAGTCCCTTAGGAGCTTATCCCAAGGAAGAAATGCTACGTACATATATATCCATCAGGCAATATTCATAATGGCAAAAACTGGGAATCTGTAAAATTCCCAATGAAAGGGGAATGGTTAAATAAAGGATGGTGTATATGTCAAAGCAGTACTCTGTAGCAGTATTCAAATGACGGTTATTTGAAGACGATGTAAAAAAGTACTATGATATAAAATTCAGTGGTAGAAAGAGAAGACATAAATTCGCAAATATACACTAATTATAACAATTTATATAACAAATGTAAATGGGAAAAAAAGAAGAAAATATACCAGAATAATGCACAATGACATTAGGGACATTAGGATTAAAAGTAGTTTTTACTTTTCTTTGAAATCCAAATTTTTCTCTAAATGTGGCATAACGCATTTATAATCTTAAAAAATAATAAATGTGCAAATAGAAAGTAAACAAGCCACTGGCCTGGTCTGCCTCCTGAATGGCAGAAGAGCAGGGGAGGCAAGTGCAACATTTCTGCCACCCCAGGATGGCTTTACCTGCACAAAAAGTGTAGCCGAGTATCTGATCATCCTCTGCAGCCGCAAAGTGTTTGGATGTGGTGGAGGGTCCTGGTTCAAGCCTAAGGTTAAGATCTTCTTACTGAATTGGAACAAACACATCAATGTAACAAGCACTGCCAGCCTCAGAAACAAAGTCTCTGAGTTGTCAGGCTTGCAGGCTGGGAAGATTTGTGGAGGAGACAGATTAGAGACTCCACTGAAGTCTCTTTGAAGGCAAAGCCTGTTTCTTACCCTTTGGCTGTACCCAAGGCCCCTAACACAGCATAGGATGCATGACAAACACTTGGCCATCGAGGGACTGACCACATGTGCAAGGGCAGCTTCGTGGGTGAGTGACATGGGCAGGCATGGAGTCTGGTGTTTAGAAGAGCTCTGTGCTTGCTTTAATATTCTGCTGTCACTGTCTTAAAATTCTTAATAATTTTGAACAAGGAACCTGCATTTTCATTGTGCACGAGGCCCCACAAATTACGTAGCCATGCCCAGTCGGTGTGGCTCAGTGGACTGAGCATTGTCCCATGGACTATGAGATCCCGGTTCATTCCCAGTCAGGGCACATGCTCAGGTTGTGGGCTCAAAAAAAAAAAATGTAGCCAGTCCTACATGTAGGGATGAAGGATTCCTTCTCTCAGTTCTTTCCCTGAGTCACTGTACTTCCTACACTGCAAAGGGTTGATTTAACCCCAACTACCAGTCCACATTTAAAAAACAGCTATTGCCTTGAAGAAAGAAGCTAGGCTTCCATCCTGGCTCCACCACTTTTGCTAGCTCTGGTGCATTCTCTCACCTATAAAAGGGGATTTTAATCCCTACTTCAAAGGGTAACTTGTAGAATAAATGAGTTACACTATGTGGAAATATACAGTGATATTTCCTAGCACAAAGCTGGTGTTCAATAAACTCATATTCCTTTAATAATAATAATAATGACACTAGAAATCCTTAACCAAAAATTACTGAGATGTGTTGAATGCTAAAACTAATACATTCCTCAGTCTCCTCCTTACATACTGCTGTCACCATGACTCTGGTGAGCCCAGGTCTGCTAGCCACCCAATACCTTATTAAAACAGCACCTCCTCCACTCAAGCAGCAGGTAAGGCATCACCAAACAGACCTTACCTTAAAGCGTCTATTAACTCATACACTTTTTGCACTTCTACTCGAAGGTCATTGGCATGTTCCAGACTGTAGGTTGTCTCTCCAGCACTATAAGGAGAAACCATGGAGATTTCTTTTTTAGGTTTTTAAATTTTTATTTTCAGAAAATATACAGCCAGGAATCATTTTATTTCTACTGTGGAAAAATGATCATGAATTATTCAATATTTAATTGCATTAAGATATATTTGGCTTTCATATGGTTTAGGTATCTTTAAAAAGCTAAATTAGCCCTGGCCAGTTTGGCTCAGCGGTTGAGCATCAGCCTGTGGACCAGAGAGTCCCGGGTTCAGTTCCTGCTAGGGGCACATACCACAAAAGAAAAAAGAAAAAAAAAAAAAGATTAAAACAATATATTTTAAAAAAAAAAGGCTAAATTAGCTTACTGACTACTGAATTTTTTACATTAATTGAGTTTAATTTTCACATTACCGATGGTTTTTACAGCTTATATATTCAATAAACAATTTTTTCATCATCATTTAAAATGACTGAAAGATGAAAGTCTCTGATATGTATGAAATAAGTAAATGTATATTAATTAGAATTAGAACACACACTTTCTTCAAGGAAAAAAAACACATTAATGGCTTAATCACTAATTGTCCACGCATCAAAGTTAAGAAAATAAATTCACATAAAATTTCTGTTTCAATTTGCTAGCAAATATCGTACTACTTAGATGCCATTCTAAGTTTCATCGCACTAACTAGAGAGTATAGCCTAAGAGGACTCTAAAGGTTTAAGGGAGACACAGTTAATTTCTCCAAGTGGCACTTCAGACTTTTGTACATAATGTAATACTCATTCCTTTTCAAAATAAGTACTAATCCACTGGAAGCCTCTTTTCTGTTTGCAAACCCTATAAGAATAGACTCATGCCTAGGCTTTTGAGGACTAGCTCTTTAAGCGCATCGCCAAAATAAATGCAACTTAATCTGCTTTGGTCTATTTCCCCTAAACAATTTCACTATCTCAAGTAAGATGCATAAAGTCATTACTAATGAATTGGTTATACTACATCAGAGCAGAAACACTTGGCTTTTCTCACTCAAAGGCTACTCAGGGACAACAGGAACAATTGGAAAGCTGACCATGGGATCCCCAGTGGTGATATGCAGCACAGCATCATATCAATTGCCCCATGCTCCTGGGTCTCATGAACAACCGTTCCCTACATGAGAAAAGCACTTCGACTCCAAATCAAGAAGGGAGGAGAGGAAGGAACTCTGCCCAGGGTGGAGCAAGGGACATCAGGGAAGGCCAAGGGTGGTCTGACTCTAGTCTCAGAGAAACAACAGCAATTATTGTGTGATTTTAGAATTGTTCATTTACAAATCTGTCACCCCACCAGACGGTTGAATTCCAAGTGCAGTGACTGTAGCTTTTCATTTTTATGCCCTCAGTAACTAGCACATGGGCCAAGCTTAATCAAGTGTTTACTGCAGAGAAGCATTTCAAAAGATCTTGCAGCTATTAATCCAGCCTCAGCATTGGCCACTCAACCCCCCTTCTGAGGCAGTAGCAATTTAAGTTAAACAAGCAGAAAGAACTGCTGTGTTTATCTATTTTGCCATCTATAAAACAGTCCTAGCTGGAAAAATATTGGTGTGTGCTATATTTTGAGGATTCAATAAGGTTGTTTCATTATCTTTCACTGAACAGTTTGCAAAAAGAACACTGGACTAGAATTGAGAAGACTTGTGCTTTATTTCAACATCTCCAAGTCATGTGGAAAATAACAAGGTTGGCCCAAATCTGAAATCTGAAATCACTTCCCCTGGTCACAATCATGCCAACCAACTGCATTTCCCTCAGAGCAACTATCACATCTGGAGTTTCCTTGTTCATTATTTGTTCACTTGGATATGGCTTGTGCTCCCAAAAAATGAAGCTCCACAAGAGCAGACACGGTCTTCACTGTTCATTGCTATAGCCCCAGCACCTAGATTAGTGCTAAGAACAGAGCTAGTGCTTGATAAGCATCCACTGAATGAAAGAGTAAGAGAATGAAATGCACTTAAAGCCTTTTAAAACCAGCCTTTCTAAGGGGAAGGAGTAGGAGTCAGACATTTGGAAATGCGCTCAGCAATGGTAGTTCCCCAAGTGGATAGGGAGGCCCGTTAACCCACAATTATGTCTGAGGCACAAAGTAAAAACCAACAGGACTCAGGGAGAGGAATACCTCGGTAACAATTTCATGAGGAAAACACTGTGTGCAAGCTCAAATTGCCAGGAACACAAGTCTTCTTGCTGACATCCATATAGGAGACAGTCCTGCTCTAACTTCAAACCAATGTGCAGGGACAGGAGGAGGGGTGCTGATTCCAGAAATCTCCAGGGTGGAAAAGAGCACAAGACAGATTCTCTGAGCCATTTTGAGGAGGTATACATCAGAAACATGTGGGGTTCTTCTTCCAACCTACTCACAGAAAGGGCAGACTGAAATTCTTGCTCCGTGAATTGCAGGTAGAAAAGAAAATGGGTCCTTTCCCTGCTGTTCTTTAGAACCAGTGCTAAGGAATGGAATGAGAAAAACTGGGGTCTAGGAGGTGTAAATATAAGGAGGGAGGAGCCATAGGACAAAATGGCTGTGAATATACTAAAAACCACTGAACTTTACATTTTAAAAGTGAATTTTATGGTGTGTGAATTTATCTTCATTAGAAGAAAAAAAAAAAAAAAAAGCAGATAGCAAACTAGATTTGCCCTATGGGCTGATATTTGCCAACCCCTGCTTTAAAGGAAATGCCTGCTCTAAGCCCCGATCCTTCAGTATCACCCTGAAGTGGCACCTACCCAGGCATGAGCGGGAGGCACACTGTTCTTGTTCACCTCCAGGGGCTGCATTTGGCAGTGCCTATCATCAGAGGCCCTTCCCAAACTTGCTCAATCAGAAAAGCTGGGTCACCTCAACATGGCTACAGAGGGCTATAGCAGCGCCACATGGAAAGAGACATGACAAAGATTCTCTGCAGTCAGTCACAGAAGAGAAGCACAGCCAGAGTTAAGATTTTCGTTTTCAGCTACTAAAGATTTAACCTAAAATTCCAGAAAAGAATCACCACAGATTTAAGAAAATAAAGAGGAACAGCTTACTTTAATGATGTTGCCATCCTGATGTATTCAGGAGCTTTTTGGTCAACTTTCTCCATGCAAAGTCGTAATTTCTAAGAACAAAAAAAAGAGGTAATGGTACTCTCTGGGTACAGAAAAGCCTACCCAGAAGTTATGCTGCATCAACAGAGATATTTTTAAAATGTACAATTTTCTAAAATATAAAAATGCAGATAGTTTTTTTGTTTTTTTTACTGTTATCAATTTCCTGATTTACAGACCTACTTTACAAGCAGAAAATCATGCAGGAAGGAAAGAGGAACAAGACCTTCTAGGACACAAGCCAGAGTTTACCAAGGCAGAAAAAGGAATTAGTTGCTACATTCTTTCTCTACCAGGTGATGCAAGGCAACAGCACAAAGCATCACCAGAGCTTACTTCCAAAAAGATGGAAGCAAAAAGCACAGTGGCAATTTACAAAATCAGTTATCAGGTCATGAACTCTACATAAAGGAAAGATAATGGCTATATCTGCAGCTCAGCATGCCTACAGAACTGCTAAAAGGGACCAATTAGTGATCCTCAGACAAATATACACTCTTCCTCTGCTTAGAGTTTTGCATGAGTTGCTTCCTCTGCCAGGGCTCATCTCCTCCTCCCCATCTCTTCCTGCCTCCCTGCCCCATCTCCTCAACTTACAGGTTTCACCTCTCTGACCTTAAATCCCATGTTTTTGAACTATACTATGTTCCTCTCAAAGTAGCCTCTACCAAAGGTGTTCTGGAGTCACTGGTGGTAATGAGAGCTGAGGCATGTGAATGGACTTAAATGAGGAAGCTCTAAGCCAATGGGGAGTTACTCAAACTTATAAAGCCTGGAGCTCCCAAGTGAGTGTCACAGGCCTCTTCAGGTTCACTGTTCACCACCAACTTCAGCTTCTGCTTTCACCCACAGAACCTGTCCACACCACATGGCAACAACCATCCTTTCTCCTCTTGTCCCTGGGCCACCAAAGCCTCCAACCTCTGTTTTCAAAAGGGCAAGAAAGTGAGGGAACAAGTTTGTGGCAACACACCCAGGATGACTCTGTGACTCACACAGGGCCCTAGCTAGGAAATCATACCACCGCCCTTTAGTAGAAACTAAAAATGCGTCAAAGGAACGACTTCCCACATCATTCTCCAAAATTTACATAATGAGCAGCGAGATATGCCTCTCGAATCAGACCCAGGACTGCACACAGTTAAGTCACCTCATAGAGCTTCACAATGTCGGGGGTGTGCTCCTTCTCATCAATCTGCTGCTCTCTCTTGAGCAGTGTGTCCTTGCAATGTGTACAGCAGCGGATCCGGTCATCATCCTTCTCATCCAGGACAGAACTTACACTGCTCACACTGCTGATGCTGCCCCGGCGGGAGCCATGGACACTGTTGGGTGACTGGCTGGGGCTTGTATGGGAACTCAGGGAATCCTTGCTGGCACTGGTAAGCTTATCTGTAAAGCACAACACAGGACAGGCAGCAGTGAGCCCACAGCCTCCAATCACCCCACTGCCCAAGACAGCAGGGGAGTCCATGGATGCTGATGAGGTAAGAGCAGGGTCTGCCTATGAGCAAGAAGGACCCACATCTCTGCTTTCCTGGAGTCAGGTTCCGTGGTTCGAGGGACTCCCACTGCCATCCAGGAAAGATCCGGACAGTCTAGGACAGTTTGTCTTTTAGGTTCTGAGGTCCACTCCCTAGCTTAGCCTGACCACCTACTGCCCCCTCCATTTGCCATGCCTCAGATACAACCCACATTCTCCCTAGACTATCCTGACAGCTTTCCCTACTCCCAAACACCTGACTCCTACACCTCCCAAAGCTTAGTTCATATGGCACGTCCTCCAGAAAGCCCTCCCTCTATTCCTTGAGGCAAAAATGATCTGCCTTTCCTATCAACAGTTCTTAACACATTGCCCTTCATGGAGAACTTTCCACTTTTCTCCCTGTATGACAGGTCTATGTACACCCCAGAGCTGCCCTAGGAATCTGTGACTCTTTGAGGGTAGAAACTGTCTTATTCATACTTGTATCCCTACATATACCACAGGGCCACTTCATAGCAGCTGCCCAGTAAATGCTGGCTAATTAGCCCAAGAGGAGAGAGGTGAATGGTGTCCAAAAAAAATAGCTTAAAATAAAGTCTCAGGTGAGACGGGGAGTCAGTTTCAAAGAGAAAGGGAAAGTATCAAGGTAATGTGTGCCTGGTGGATGTCAGAGCTTGACAGAGGAAGCATCTGCTTCTGCCCCATGTTGTCCAGATGCTCTGCAGCCAATAACATATGCGGAGTCAGCGGAATCCTTCAAGGTTGCAAAACCACCCAAATGTCCTAGAATTGACCAAAAGTCCATGAGACCATCTTGAGCAACTTTTAGCCTGCTAAGATTCAGAGTTTTGAACATCTGGTTCCATCTAACAATTCTCAAACATGTCTTCTACATTCCCCCAAATATTCTGTTTGCTCATCCACTAACCTTCCACAGGGCCTTTCCAAATTCCATGCTATTTACTTTACCTAAGAGGCCCTCCTTCCCCATCTCTTTGGAATCCTAGCCATCTATCAAGGCTCTTCTTGAACATCACCTCTTGACCCTAAGGAGCCATGTTCTCGCTCTCCCCCAGCCTCCACAACACTCGGTGTCTCTCGTATTACAACATTACAGTCTGTTCTATATTACAATGACTGTTTGACTTTTATCTCAAAGGAACGGATTAGCCTGCTGCTCATTTTTCAAGACTCTGTCCTACAGTCTCCTCTCAAAGCCTCACCTGCCACTTATAAACAGAGCTGATACAGATTTGGTCAGCTCTCCTGGGTGCCTGATGCAACTTCTCTCATCGTACTTATCTCTTTATACAACATTTATCTTTTTGTGAGTCTATATCCTTTGCTAGATGCTGAACTCCTTGGGAAATTGGACAATGCCTTATAGGGCAAACATGACCTATAAGCCAAGTCCAGGCTGTTTTTGTATGGTCCTCGAGCTAAGTATGGTTTTACATTTTTAAAAGGTTTTAAAAAAAGAAATTTCAGAGACCATATGTAGCTCATAAACCCTAAAATATTTACTATCTGATCTTTATGAAAACAGTTTGCCAACTCCTATTGCAGAGACCTCATTGTAACCCTGGCCCCTAGCATAGTGCCTAGCTTGTAATGAGCTTCACAAAATCAACAAGTGAATGAATCAAGATCCCAAATGCCAATAATTTAAACAAAAAAGTTCAAAAATTACCCAGTGGTGATTAGCAAACAAACTAGTCTGAGGAGATTAGGGTCCAGGGTCCTGCTTCCATGTTACCTACTTGCCAGGGGAAGGCTGATGAGCTCCATACATTTCTTGCACATAATAGACCCACAGAGGCGGCAGTGGTGGCGGCGGTTGCGGATGCTAAACTTATTCCCACAGTCCGGACAAAAAGGGACATCCTGGTCATTGACCCAAGGCACCACAGACTTTTCTATTGCTTTGAGAAGAACAAAACAAATAAAAAAGCAAGCCATTTAAAAAAGAGATTTGGTCAGGGAAAAAGATAAATAGAATAAATGTGAGCAAAGTTCTTAAGTTACCTCGGATCTTAGCCGACTCGGTATTTGTTCTGTCAAATGCAGTGAGCTGACAAGAAGGAAACAGTGTCAAATGGAATTAATCAGGTGATGGATACACTTTCCATAGGCAAGAGGCATTAAGCAGAAATTACCATATCTTAATTTCTCAAGTCTCACCTGTCATCCCCAACCCCACAGTCACAAAAGCAATTTCACATAAGATAATCTAGAAGGCACATCCCCTTTTTTTTTCTTTTTTTTTCAAATTATTTATTTTTGTTACAGATGTTTCTCCTTTTGCCCCCACTGATACCCCCCATCCACTCCCTCCCTGCCCTGTCCCCAGCTTTGTTGTCCATGTCTAGTGTTCACGCATACATGCATATAAATTCTGTGGTTTATCTCTCCCCTCCACCCCCTCTTCTGGAGATTGTCAGTCTGTATCCCACTTCCACGTCTCTGGGACTACCCCGTTCCTCAGACTATTATGTTCATTATATTCCACAAATAAGTGAGATCATGCAATATTTGTCTTTCTCTGCTTGGCTTGTTTCGCTTAGCATAATACTCTCCAGGTCCCTCCGTGTCATCTCAAAGGATAAGAGATCTTTCTTTCTTACAGCTGCATAGTACTCCATTGTGTATATGTACCACTGCTTTTTTATCCGTTTGTCTACTGATGGACATTTGGGCTCTTTCCAGATCTTAGCTATTGTAAATAGTGCTGCTACAAACATGGGGGTACATATATTCTTTCTGACTGGTATTTCAGGCTTCTTAGGGTATATCCCTAGAAGTGAGATCACTGGGTCAAATGGCAGTTCAATTTTTAATTTTTTGAGATAACACCATATTATTTTCCATAGTGGCAGCACTAGTCTGCATTCCCACCAGCAGTGTACAAGAGTCCCCTTTTCTCCACACCCTCGCCAACACTTGTTGTTTGATGATTTGTTGATGGTGGCCATTCTGACAGGTGTGAGGTGAGACCTCATTGTTGTTTTAATTTGCATCTCTCTGATGATTAGTGACGCACATCCCTTTTAATGGCCCACTTCTAACCTCTTTATGGTCAGTCAGCCCTTTAAGCAATAACCAGGGGTAGGCAAAAATGTGATGAGGTGGCTCCTGTGAGCAATGGAGAACTCCCAATTCTCCACAGTCCTCCTGGACAATTAAACTAGCCACATATTTCCATCCTGCAAAGTATACATAAAGAACTGTATCTGGCCCTGGCTCAATTGGTTGGAGTGTCATCCCATACACCAAAAGGTTACAGGTTCTACTCCTGGTGAGGGCACATACCTGGGTTGCAGGTTCGATCCCCAGTTGGGACACATACAGGAAGGCAACCAATCAATGTTCCTCTCTCAAATCGATACTCCTCTCTCACATGGATGTTTCTCTCTCTCTCTCTCTTGAAAAATCAATAAGCATGTCCTTGGGTGAGGATTAAATTTTTAAAAAAGAATGGTACCTGTGGTTGTTACCATGCCTACCACACAATCCAGCTTATATACAATAAGCAGTTCTAGGGTCAAAGTAAAACAAAGTAATTGTGGCATGAAACACCCACTGTCATACCAGAGGGCAAAAAGGCCCAGCCAAGATGATTCCATACTACATGATGACTCAGATGAGTTCTCCTCACAGACCTAGTCACCAGCTTCTCTGTTTGCCAAGAAAGGATTTCACACACTATGCTCCACTGTGTGATTATGCAAGGTAGAGAGGCTTCCTCAGAGAGGAAAAGGAAAGAATCCAAAGACAGAAAGGTTTCCAGTAGCCACAGGGGATTCACAGGAAGGAAAGGGGGAGCTGGATATGTGGCAAGTCTGTCAACCTCAGCTATTTATTACCTTCAGTAAAATCAGCCAGGATAAAATTGTCCACCACATGCTCTGTACCTCTCTAGGTGAGGCGTTTCTCTTCCAGCATCAGATATATACAATACACATAATACATGCTGCACAAATGTAATTTTTCCCCCCAGAAAATTTATACTTGCAGAAAAAAAAGTATTTTAAAACAACAAAATTTACCTTCTCCAACCTAATTATTAATTTATTGACTTCAACAACATAGTGGTCAATCCTGGCAGCTCGGTGTTTTTTGAAGTCAGAGAGATGACTTCTCACAGCACCTAAAAAGAAAGGAGGTGTAGAGATATATGACTTGCCATTTCTCTGAAGAAGCCTCTCTACCTAGCCATTTATCCTCAATACATTTTAAAAGCAAGTAAAAATTCTAGGGTTTTAGAGTCCTACTAAAAATTTAAAAACTAGGAAAGCGTCCACGTATCTTTTCTTTTCTAACTATCCTCTTAACATCTAATTAAAATTTACTTCCAAGCCTGGTTAGTGTGGCTCAGTGACTGAGCGTCGACCCATGCACCAAGAGGTCACCAGTTCGATTCCCAGTCAAGGCACATGTCCAGGTAGTGGGCCACATCCCCAGTGGGGGGGCATGCAGGAGGCAGCCAATCGATGTTCTCTCTCATCAATGTTTCTATCTCTTTCCCTCTCCCTTCTTCTCTCTCTAAAATCAATAAAGAAAAAATATCAAGAAAAAAAATAATTAAAAAAAAAATTTACGCCCTGGCTGGTTTGGCTCAGCGATTAGAGCATCGGCCCTCGGACCAGAGTCCCAGGTTCGGTTCCCGCTAAGGGCACATGCCTCGGTTGCAGTTTGTCCCTGGCCCTGGTTGGGGTCATGTGGGTGGCAACCACTTGATGTGTCTCTCTCGCATGGATGTTTCTCTCTCTCTCTCCCTCTCTTACTCCCTCCTGCTTTATCTGAAGATGAATGCAAAAATGTCCTCGGGTAAGGATAAAAATAAAAAATAAAAAAAATTTACTTTCGAGCTCAGCTGGTGTGGCTCAGTGGTTGAGCATCAACCTATACACCAAGAAAAGGTCGCCAGTTCGATTCCTGGTCAGGGCACATGCCTAGGTTGTGGGCCAAATCCCCAGTAGGGGGCATGCAGGAGGTAGCCAATCAATGTTCTCTCTCATCGATGTTTCTCTCTCTTTCTCTCTAAAATCAATACAGAAAAATATATTTAAATTTACTTTCGAGTTCTTAGGAGTGACTAAATATTAACTTCTAAAATTTGCCATTCACTTGATTTTTCCATAATTTGTGACTTCCTTCAATTGTTGAAACAGGCAAGTTAATCAGAAAATCACCTTGAAAATTTAGCATTGGCAATCATGAAATAAGCTATCAAAAAGTAAATAGGATTCACATGCCTGAAATTTCTTTCATGCTTCTAATTGGCTTTCAGCTGTAACTTTTAATTATATGTAGATGTAACTTTCAATTACATGTATATAGTATTATTTTTAAAGCCATTTCCTCCTGCCTTGATGAAAATGTTTCTACTCTCCAATATGGTAGTCACTAGACACATGTGGAGATTGAGCACTTGAAATGTGGCTAGTGTATGGCTTAAGAACTCACTATTAATTTTATTTAATTTTACTCACATTTAAATAGCTACATAGAGTTAGTGGTTATCATATTGGACAGCACAGTTGTAGAACTTTCCTCATTCAAAAAGACACAGCCCTGGCCAGTTTGGCTCAGCGGTTAGAGCTCGGCCCATAGACCAGAGAGTCCCGGGTTCGGTACCCGCTAAGGACACATACCTCAGTTGCAGTTTGTCCCCGGCCCTGGTTGGGGTCATGTGGGTGGCAGCCAGTCGATGTGTCTCTCTCACATTGATAATTCTCTCTCTCTCTCTTCCCCCCCTCTCTACTCCCACTCTATCTGAAGGTAAATGCAAAAATGTCCTTAGGTGAGGATTAAAAAAAAAAGACACATTCTATTGTGGCACTGTAAGAATATGGTAGAGGACTCTGGGTAAATACTTCCTATCTTAGAGCTGTTTCCTCATCTAATAATGAGATTGAATGTCACTATGCATTCTATCTCACAAGATTTTTTTGGAAAGGTGAACAAGAAATGAATATGAAAGTACAATGAAGCACTATGGGGAATCATTATCCATTACACAGACAGAAAATATTATATTCATGGTTGTTATCATTCAACAGCTGAAAGACATGTAAGATTAGATAGTTCAACTCTGTATGGCATGATCTTTTTGATAACAGCTTTACTGAGATATTAGCCACATACATACAATTCACCATTTAAAGTGTACAAATTCAATGTTTTTAGTATATTGAATTGTGCAAACATTACCAAATACTTTATTTTAGAATATTTTCATCACTTCAAAAAAGATGATTATTTTGAAAGTAAGTATATGATACCATAACTATGTGTTTCAGAAAATTAACCGCACAAACCAGTGCCTCTCAGTAGGCAGTTAATGTCCTACGTGAAAGGAGACAGGAATGTGTGTGTGGCTGATGTCATGGACCTGGATCCCTACCCCAGTTCTATGGTTTCCCAAATGTTTGACCCTGTTTGCATCCCCATGGGGTGCAGTAAGGATTAAATGAGAACACACATGGAAAGCATCTAATGCAGTGCCTAACACAAGGCAGATACTCAGCTCATTCTTGTCCATTTTCTCCCTCCCATGAGGACATAAGGTCCACAAGAAGCTTAAACCATTCTGGCCTACTGATGCCTCCTCAGCCAACTCTTAAGACACTACCAAGAACATAAAGATGCTCAATAAACATTTCCTGAATGAATGAAGAGAATTTCTTACCAAGCTCCTGGGGTTCCCACATGTAAGGATCAACCCCTCCATAACTGAAAGACTCATATCCTTGGGTCCCTGAATCTGCTCGGTCATCTCCTTCTCGTTTCAACAGCCTGTTCTTTGCTTTTTTAGCCTTCTGGACAAGACCTTGAAAAATGGAACGAATACCATAAATGATTTCATGAAGAACACCCAGTAGAAACTGGGAGGAAATCTCAAAACACAAGAGTTAATTCTGCTTTGTATTAAAATGTTGAAGAAAATTGTGGATCTCAAATAAAATGCAATAATAAGCATTCAACCACTATATTACAAATACCATAGCAATCAATCCATTTGCTTGTCAGTATTAGCAGTAAGTTAATTTATGCAGCCAATATATAGCTAAACTACTGCTCATTGCCAAATGTAAGAGGTCTATTTAATAGAAGTGTTAAAAAAATCAAATTCAGTGAGGGAACCAGAGTGATGGAAGTTTTTTCCTATATCTTAACTGGTTACATGAATATATACATTTTTCAAAACTCAGTGAACTGTACACTTAAAAACATATGTGTAAACTATACTTTAAATAAAACAAAGTTTTTAAAATCAAATTCTACAATACTAATTTATTTACCCTAGGGACTCATGAGCAAACACTTCTTGTTCACCTCCAGGATGAGATTCAGCCAAACCATCATCCCTGGACTGTTGTTCTCGATAATGCTTAACTGTACATAGAGTTCTTTTTCCTCTACTCACTTACCAAATGTATGTGTAAGAATATTGACAAAAAGCTTCAAGAAACAGATATAACACCTAAAACATAACACAAAGAGAACTAAACTTGGTAAAAAGAGAACATGAATGTTTCCTGAATTAATTCCTTGTATGTCCCAGGCACAAAGCAAAGTACTTTCAAATATGTTATGCCAGTTCATGCTCACAATATGAGGCAGGTGATAGCCCTACTTACAAATGAAGACATGATATCAAAGGGGGGAAAGATCACAGAGATTACAGGCACCAGAGTTAGAACTGGAAACCTGATGTATGAAACAAGAACCCCAGTTCTCCACAGCCAGCTCTCATTTGAAAACTGTGCCTCTGCAGAACAGGGGTTCAGCCACCAGAGCTGAGGTGAGAGGACCTGCTGTTAAAATAAAACATCAATCAACTGGTGGAAAAAATAATTCTCAATTCTAAATTGTTCTCGTTAATGTTCTTAAATTTTGGGTGACTGTTATCCCTTTCCGCCACTAGAATCCAGTAGAAAATATCAGATTTAAAATAATAGGATATAATTTCTTTTACATTTACTAGATCAATACTTCATGGAGTTCCCATGATTTTGAAGTGTTCTGTCACTTGAATAACATTAAAAACATGCCCATAGCCCTGGCCGGTTTGGCTCAGCGGTTAGAGCGTCGGCCTGCGGTCCCGAGAGACCCGGGTTCGGTTCCCGCTAAGGGCATGTACCTCGGTTGCAGTTTGTCCCCGGCCCTGGTTGGTCGTGCGGGTGGCAGCCACTCGATGTGTCCCTTTCACATCGATGTTTCTCTCTCTCTTCCTCTCTCCCCCTCCCACTCTACCTGAACAAAAAATAGAAAAATGTCCTTAGGTGAGGATAAAAAAAAACAACAACATGCCCATAGTTTTTCAAATGTAAATACAGATGTGGAAGGGCTTAGCAGGCAGGGGGTGAAATTAACAAGGTTAGAGCAGTGTCTGTTAGACATTCAGGCTAATAAGCAGATTCTGATTATTAGTCATTCTGGGATGGCTTTTTCCAACTGAAAAAAATAAGGTCCACCAGAACTAAAGGCAGCCTCTAAAATATATTAAAGTAGTCTTTCTTAATAACGGGAGAGGAAAATATCTGATGTAACAAAGGGTCTAACAGGAAATTGGAGTTGGCAAACACCAATTCATTTTAGCAAACAAGACTACAGGCAGTTCATCCCATGTAACCTTTAGGAGGCATAGAAAAATGCCTGGAAACCTTCCCAGGGTGGGCGTTGCCCTTTCAAGAGAGGCCAATTAAGAACAATCCCATATGTTTTTAAAAGCACTTACAAAGTAGAAGCCAAAGTTAATTCTCAACCACCTTTTCTTCTACCTTACCATAAATGTTCTAAACTAAAGCTGAACCAGGGTTGGGGAACCCACTGACCACTTTTTACTAATGACAAGTTTATATTTTCTTCTTTAAACTGCCCCTAAAACCTGAAACCAAGGTTCACTCTTCTGGTTTTAACATTTCACTTGCTTAAACCAGCAATGTCATAAAATTTCTAAAAAATCAAAAGACCAAATGGAGAGGTGATCTGCTTTTCAAAGAATTTCTCAAAAATATTTGATATCCATATTTAAATTTTTATTTTCCTGATTCTAAAACACAGAAAAGTATAATATAATTAAAGATTCCTTCCTGTCCTGGCCGGTTTGGCTCAGCGGTTGGAGCGTCGGCTTGCGGTACAGAGAGACCCGGGTTCGGTTCCCGCTAAGGGCACGTACCTCGGTTGCAGTTTGTCCCCAGCCCTGGTTGGTTGTGCGGGTGGCAGCCACTCGATGTGTCCCTTCACATCGATGTTTCTCTCTCTCTCTCTTTCTCTCCCTCCCGCTCTATCTGAACAAAAAATAGAAAAATGTCCTCGGGTGAGGATAAAAAAAAAAAAGATTCCTTCCTGACTACAGATGCTTAACTCCATCTCTTAATTCTTCTGAGGTAGAGATAGGGGGAAAAATGGAGGGAGGAAAAACAAGTGAATACTTTTTAAGTTTCTTTCACAAGGAACAAAATTTCCACTCTAGTATTCTCTAAATAAATTACCATATCTATTATTCCCTAAATAACTTAAACATTTTTTTCCTCTAATAAAAGGGGTATTATAAAAGGACTCTGAGGACATTCTATAACCTCTCTAACCACTGGCCTCAAAGTCTTAGTGATATCACAGTATATATGATCCAGTTCAGCTGACACTAAGTCTGGACACTCATTGAAAATCACAGAGGCCCTTCAGATGTTCAAAGAAAACTTAGATAATCTGTTGGTTTGTTTTCAAGCCGCAGTACATGCAGTGATGCCATGTGGAAAGATTAGCATTAGGCTTAGAGATGTTAGAGGACCTGGGTTCAAAGCGTAGCTCTGCCAATTCCTGTGTGACCTTGAATAAGTTATAAGACATCTCTAAGCCTCAGTTTTTCTCTATAAAATGAGATCAACCACCTTGCTGCAGAGTTGCTGGGAGAGTCAAATGAAATAACATATGTAAAATAACTCTGACAACTGTAAAGCGCAAATGCTGGGGTTGGGAGGGCTTCCTAATAGTTATGGCTCTGCACCAGCCTCTACAGCCAGAACCCACCTGGTCCATCACAGCCCTTAGTATTTTGAAATGTTTTACATTGTCATGTTTTTGGATAGAAGTTGTAAGTGTCGATGTTTTCAGCAACTTTTTTTTTCTGAACTGAAAAATGTGACAAAGAGTGTGACTATTTGATTACAGGATGCATGGGACTCATGTGTAAAGACCAAAGTACACTTAGGAATATATGATCATTCCTTTCTCCCACCCAACAAAGATCTATGAATATAGCATTCAGATCTCGACTCACTGCTTTCAGAAATGATACTAGCTATAAGAAGCAGGTTAGCTGGATCACTAAAAAGTCAGTGCCAGTCCGGCTGGTGGGGCTCAGTGGTTGAGCACTGACCCATGCACCAAGAGGTCACTGGTTCAATTCCTGGTGAGGACACATGCCCAGGTTGTGGGCCCGATCCCCAGTTGGGGGCATGCAGGAGGCAATCGATGTTCTCTCTCATTGATGTTTCTAGCTCTCTCACTAAGAATCAAAAAAGGGGGGAAAAAAAGTAAGTTCTAAAGCAGCAGCATTGTATTTAGGGATTAGAATCTGAAGTCCAGGAAATGAACATTATGTATAGTCAAAATTACTTTGAAAAGTTTTTGCAACTCTCCAGGACCCAAGTCCTTGGAAGCTCAAAAACAAAGTTTTAACTTTTGGGGTTGTTTTTCCTTGTTTTTCAACTCCTTTTCCTGGGCTGCAGAGGACAAGGTCTAGTTGAGGAAAGAAGGATGGCAAGAAGGTTTGAATCTGTGACAAGTACATGCCTCTACTTTCATAGCAAAGGAAAGGAATTCCACTTCAAAATCCTCTTAGGTTGGCAGTTAGCTAATTACTTAATTTATTTTTAATTTTTTTTTTTTTTTTTTTTTTTTTTTAGAGATAGAGGAAGGGAGAGAAAGATAGAAACATCGATGTGAGAGAAACATTGATCAGCTGCCTCCTGCACACCTCCTACTGGGGATAAAGCCCACAACCCGGGCATGTTCCCTGACCAGGAATCAAACCGAGACCTTTCAGTCCATGGGAGGATGCTCAATCCACTGAGCCACACCAGCCGGGCAGCAATTACATTATTTAAACAGTCTAACAAGGGACAGCAGAGCACAGTAACTGTGTTTATTAGGTTCAAAGCCTAATTGTGTAACTCAGGCAAATTATCTAATCTCTCTGTGTCTGACACCTTCATCAGTAAAACGGGGCTCATATACACGTAGCTATTGAGAGGATTAAATTATGTTAATATATGGGAAGACTTTGAACAATGCCTGGCACATGGTAAGCACTAGATATATACTTGTGACTATTATTATTAATTTATGATTATCATGTTCTGGTGACAACATGGAAGCTGATGATAATTATCCCATGAAGTTAAAGCTCCCACTAACAGAATGGAATAAGCAAGATTCTCTCCTCTTACTTTTAATTTGACTTTTGACATCATGGTCTTCCCCGGAGTGTTCTTCCTCATAATGTGACTGAAGCTGATAGAAAGATTGCAGGTCCTTTAGGCACAAAGGGCAGAGGAAGCCCTCCCGCACTTCCCCTGGGTCATCCAGAGAAGCCATGGGAGTATCCCTCTCAACCCCCACAATGCAGGGGCCTCATGCCAAGAGTCAGCTTGATTCCTCCACAAGGAACAGGGCTTCCGCAGCATCAGCTTAACCAAGCAGCACACAGATGATGGGGAAGTGGCATGATGGCCCTGGATGAGGATTCCTCTCTGGAGCAAGAGAAACCTTGAGAAAGGAAATAAGAGAGAGGGAAAAAGCCAATCAGGCAAATTAACAGAAATTGAGAATTTTCTTTGTGTTTTTTTTTTTTACAATTCAATAAGGGTCTTTAATGTTTGCTCAGTACAAGTTTAAGAACACAAACTGCTTTCTCAAATCCTTAGATGAAAACACAAAACCTAAGATATGAGAACATCAGTGGACGATGCCAACTCAATATTAAGAGGAAGACACATTCTTGAAGATAAGAAAGGAAAATTCAACTTCAACAGCAAACGCAATACTAAGGAAATTCTCTAACATTTGTTCCAAACGGTCCAACTTCATAAGTTGTATACCACAGGGAAAATGTCTGAAGTACTTATGAACAAACAGAGGTTTTTCTTTGACTCTCTGTATCTTGATCATTTCTTCAACCACATATATTGAGCTCTTGCACCTATGTCAAAACGTAACAATGAAAAAAAGACTGTGTCAGCTCTAATAAACAAAACAGAAATCAAAGGGAACAAAAATTCCAGCCTCAGTCTAAACAGGAGCATTAGAAACCTAGTGATCAAAAAGAAAATTTTATTTTATGTCTTACATTTGTAGAGCACTTTCTCTCCGATGCACTTACTAGATTTTATAAACCAGTAAGTGAGAGTTGAACAGGAAGCCTAATGTTCTCACTGCTTCAAAAATAAAAAGACTTGGTGCTGAAACAATTCAAGGCTTAATAAGTTACATTTTCAGTTTTACTGGCCCATGGCAAAGTCACTTCCAGTGTCACCTCAGAAAGACTCCCAGCCATAAGAAGAACTCAGAGTTCCACAAAAAGCAGATAAATTCCTCCCCAAGAGCTTGAGGCCAGAAACTACAGCAGAGAGGGAGAAGGAATGTATGACCTTCAGCTTTGGGTGAACTTGCCTATAGGGCCACTGAGGAGGGACTGCCTGGTCCTCAAGGCTGAAGGGTGACAGTGACCCAGAAAATAAGCAAATGAAAGACCAGGCCCCTGTTTTTTTCCTTCAGCTAAGAAACCCAATGAATATATATAAATAGATCTCAGCCCCTTTACTAGGTAGTCACTGAAACAGCAGCTCTAGTCCACCCCCTCCTCACCAGTGGTTCACCTGAGCTTTAACTCTGACAACCCCTTCCTTTCCAGTGCACTCACCCTTAACAACTGCAAGTCACTCATACACACACACACCCATACACCCACACCCTTCACATCTCAATCCAACCTCAGTTCCTCAAGGAAATGCCTCTCACTTGATGGGCATTCTCCCATCTGACAGCCCCTGCACGGATCTCAAGTTCTAGTCACAAGTGTATAAAGTGGCCGAATACATAAAACTGTAAGCTCTTTGAGGGCAGAGACTATGTCCGTTTTCCCCACCATCATATCCCATATCCCCAAGGTCTAGCCCAGTGCCTGGCACAAACCACGAAGAAATTCAATAAAACTCTAAGACCATATAACCAAACATACACCATAAACCAAAGAAATCTACCACAAACCACCAAGCCAGACCGCACAACCATCACGTATGTAAGCCCTCACTCTCTAAAACATGGAAAAATAAAATCTACCTATCTTGCACCTGCACCACCAGCCTGATGCTACGCGACCACACACCGGTTAGACTACACACCACACAGCCGCACTCCTCGCGGCCTCAAAACCCTCCGCAACACGATCATGCACACGTCGCAAACCCACACAACACGAAAGACTGAACCCGACAGAGCAGACATGACAACTCCCCACATCACACAGACACCGCATAAAACGCTACAAACAACTCTACACAGACTCAGACCCAAACACCACCACCCGGGAGATGACCCCCCCCCCCCCGTCAGCCACACAACTGTACACGCACCACATCAAGGCAAGCACACACGGGCGGACAGTGCGGCCCCACGGCCACAACGCCCACCGCGCAAGTCACACCCACCACAACCACACGGTCCCACCCCAGCACGGCTCGCCGGTCTCCATGCCTGCGGGAGGCGCGCCCCAACCCCTCAGGTCAGGCCGGGCCCTCTCACCGGGTCGGACTTTCGCGGGCTCGCAGGACTGTCCAGCCCTCCGCTCTGGGCCTCCGCGGTTTCTCACACCGTAGCGGACACCACCTCCCTCGGCTGCTCGGCGCTCGACAGGAGCGCCTGCGACGGCGCGGAAACCGGAAGTCGGGCTGGCAGACGCCCGCGGAGCGCCGAGTCTTCGAGGACGCAAAGTGGGCGGAGACGGATTCCAACAGCAATGGGCACCTGGCGGCTTCCGCACTGGCGCCGTAAGTAGACGTGAGCACGTCCCTGGTACACACGTACAATGCGTAAAAACCAGCCCCTTCCTCTCCACCCATTGTGCAGGCAGAAAAGTTGAGACCTGTACACACAGAAATTCTTTAGCTCTTGACCAAGTTGCGCAATGACTGAGCCAGCAGGCGTGGGGTTGGGGCCTTTCACATGTCCTACCCGACCCCCAACTACAGTTCTAGATTAATTCGAGTCCATTCGAGTTCCTGAGAGCTAGAGACAACAGGAATATTTAGGAGACTTGGAGGATATGGAAAGATCCGTATTAGAATCGTAGGAGAGTGGGGACTTAGAATGAGGAGGTAGTGTGGAGGGTGTGCAGTAAGGTCAAATCTGTGGCATTTTTATGTGCAAATCAAAACCACAATGAAGGGATGGAGGAGGGGAAATTAGAGAAAGGTGGTCAAAAGGTATAAACTTCTAGTTAGAAGACAGATGAGTACTAGGGATGTAATGTACATGTAACATGATGACTGTAGCTAACACTGCTGTTTAAGAGTAAATCCTAGGAGCTCTCATCACAAAGAGAAAACTATTTTTTTGCTTTATCCTTTTTATTATATCTATATGAGAAGATGGAATTTAGCTGAATCTATTGTGCTAATCATTTCACAATATATGTAAATCAAATATATGTACATCATGCTGTACATCTCAAACTTACACAGTGATGTATGTCAATTATTTCTCAATAAAACTGGGGGGAGGGGGGGACCTCCACAGCATTCGGTGTAATTTTCATGGACAACAAAAAACCACAATGAAGTATCACTTCACACCTGTTAGAATGGCTATTATAAAAAACAAAAGCCCTGACCGGTTTGGCTCAGCGGTTAGAGCGTCGGCCTGCAGTCCGGAGAGACCCGGGTTCGGTTCCCGCTAAGGGCATGTACCTTGGTTGCAGTTTGTCCCCGGCCCTGGTTGGTCTTGTGGGTGGCAGCCACTCGATGTGTCCCTTTCACATTGATGTTTCTCTCTCTCTCTCTCTCTCCCTCCTGCTCTATCTGAACAAAGAATGAAAAAGTGTCCTCGGGTGAGGATAAAAAAAAATAAAATAAAAAACTACAAGAAAATGTGTATGTATATACATACATACATACACATTAAAAAAAAAAAAACAAGAGATAACAAGTGTTGGTGAGGATGTGGAGAAAGGGAACCCTTGGTGCACTGTTGGTGGGAATGTAAATTGATGCAGTCACTATTTAAAAACAATGTGGAGATTCCTCAAAAAACTAAAAATAGGACTACCATAAGATCCAGCAATTCCACTCTGGGCATTTAGCTGATGAAAATGAAAATACTAACTTAAAAAGATATATGCCCCATCCCACGTTCATTGCAGTGTTATTTACAATAGCCAAGATATGGAAACAACCTAAGTGTCCATCGATTGATAAATGTTGCTAAATGGATAAAAAATTATATATATTCAGCCATAAAAAGGAATGAAATCTTGACATTTGGCACAACATGGATGGACTTTGAAAGCATTTATGCTAAGTGAAATAAGTCAGACAAAGAAAGACAAATACCATATGATCTCATTTATATGTGGAATCTTAAAAAAACAAAACCTGAGCTCATAGATACAGGAAACAGACTGGTGGTTGACAGAGACAGAAGGAGGTTGGGGAATGGGGAGCTGGAGGGTGGCTCCACCTCTGAACAGGAGCACTGATTGGGCTGGGCCTCTATCACCTTCCACTTAAGGACATGGGGCTCCCAGCATGGGGAGCATTGAGATTTTGGAAGGCTATCACCAGTGGAAGGGCAGTGAGCTAGGGGTCCAGAGACCTGGGTTCTAGCCCTGGGCACACGTTACTGTGTGACTTTCAACAGGTCTTTTCCCCTCTCTTGGCCTCAGCTTTCCTATCTGTACAGATAAAATGGGTTCCAAAGACATTGAAGCTCTTTTAATTTTTTAAATCTGATAGCCAAAAATATTTTTTTTAACTTTACAGGGTTGGTAGGAGTGGACAGTGACTCCCCTTTGTGTATTGGCACAAACAAGATACTTGCCAGCCTGTCAAAAGCATAACAACAGACCCAGGTTTGCCTCTCTATCATTTGCTCCTACCTTGACTCCCAGTAGGCAGGACTTGGGAGAGTGAAAACACCTTTTTTAATGTCTGGAGCTGGCTAAGTCCCAGAACTGGCCGTGCATATAGCCAGGTGATAAACCTTTTATTAAACCATTATGATTTTGCCCGTCATTCTATTATTTAGAAAAGCTGGTGTCACAGTTACCATTTCACTTGCTCAAAAAAGTAGCAATGTGGCCTGCATCTTAGGAATTAATTCTGTAAATCCTGATGGACCAGTCACTGCTATTCTATTGATATTTTTAAGCCTGGCCAGTGTGGCTCACTGGTTGAGCATTGACCCATGCATGCACCAAGAGTGGTTGCCGGTTCAATTTCCGGTTAGGGCACATTCCCAAGTTGTGAGCATGATCCCCAGTGGGAGGCATGCAGAAGGCGGCCAATTGATGTTCTCTCTCATCGATGTTTCTTTCTTTTTTTCTTTTAATTGCATTGTTGCAATTCTTTTTTTTTTTTCTTTATTGATTTCAGAGAGAGAGAAAGTGAGAGGGAGAAAGAGATAGAAACATTGATAAGAGAGAACATCAATTGGCCGCCTCCTACATGCCCTCCCCGGAGATCGGGCTCACAACCTGGGCATGTGTCCTGACGAGGAATCGAACTGGCGACCTCTTGGTGCATGGGTCGACACTCAACCACTGAGTCACACCGGCCAGACTCTCATCAATGTTTCTATCTCTCTTTCTCCTTCTCCTTTCCACTCTCTCTTTCAAAAAAAAACAGAAGAATGATGGAGGCAAAGACCCTCCTGTATGCTTTAAATAACTTCCGTTACTTAAATCCTTTGGACAACTCTATTACTAGTTTCATTTTGATGATGATGATGATGATGATAACAATAATAATAGTAATAATAATAATAATAATAATAATAAAACAAAGGTTTACTGAGTGACTCACATATGCCAGTCACTGTTCTATGTGCTTTACGTGTCTTAACTCACTGAATTCTTATACACCCCTATGTGGTACAAACTAATATTGTTCCCATTTTATAAGCGAGGAATCTGAGACACAGAGAGTTTAAGTGACTTGCCCAAGGTCACACAGCTGGTGCTGAATCCAGAGTCATCTTGTTTTGAGACTTTCATATAGCCCCTACTTTTCCTTCCTTGTGAAGCCCTGATCTTTGAGCCTTCCTGCATCTCTTAGCATTTTCCAGGAACCAACCATGTACCAAACACAGAGATAGAGGGTGTGAGGGGAGTCAGAATCAGGCGAGATGGTCTCAGTCTTTAAGGAGGCTACAGCTGCCAGAGGGCACAGCAGTTCATAAGCCAATTAGTTTAAGAGAGAGAAAGAGAAGTGTGCACATGTGTGCAGATGCTCTGGCATCAAAGGGAAGGCTGGTGAAATCCCTTGATGGAATTCAGGGAAGGTTTCCCAGAGGCAGCAACACACGAGCAGAGCCCTCAGGTAGAGATGATACAGAAGGGCCTTCTAGGCTGGGGGAACTGCATAAGCAGAGGCATGGTTATATGGAAGGATATGTGTCTTTTGAGAAACAGAAAAATCTATTCACACTTAGAGTGATAATATTAAGGCACTCCTTTTTTCCAGCACTGCAGGGAGGCACTTCTAATGGCAGAATCTTAGATAGCTAGCTCTCTTCACCTTTGCCTTCCACCTTAGAGTTCTCCCTGTCTGTCTCTGTCTCTGTCTCTCTCTGCCTGTCTGTCTCTCTCTCTCCCTTTCTCTCTCCCTGCCTCTATCTCTGTCTATCTGTCCTTTCTCTATCTCTCTTTCTAGCCCCTTATTGTCTACGTTCACCCCAAGCAGCACAAGATGTCTTGGCATCATATTGAAATCCCTGAGCAGGAAAGGGAAATCATGATGTGGGTAAGCGTACGTCAGGGGAAAGTGTGCGGCACAGCATGTAACTCCCCAAAGATCTGGCTTCTCTCCAGGCTGGCCCAAGCCCCAGTTCGCCAGGCCTCTGCCAACTGCCACTGCGGTTGTGAGCAGACGGGTTGAGAGGGTAGAGGTTGGCATACCCCATCCGCTGGCACAGGGAAATGAGAGTAATGACGAAAGGACTGGCAGGGCCCAGGAGGGCAGGGCCTGATCTAGAGAACTGGTAAAGGGTGTGCCAGGCTGAGTGGTAGCCAGGGGAAGCAGGTGGCAGCTGCTCAGGGTCAGGCAGGAAGCAGAGAACGGAGGAAAGAAAAGAGGGAAGGAAAGGGAGCAGAGGGAAAGAAGCAAGATAGGAAAGAGGGAGAAAAGAAGGACAAGAAAATAGTTAAGAGGAAGTCAGGCAGTATGGTTATAAGCACAGACTCCACAGCTAGTCACCATGGTTTGAATCCCCATCTTGTGGCTGTGTGATCCTGGGTGAGTCAACTTAAATTATCTGAGCTTTAGTTTCCTCATGTCTAAAATGGGATAATAATAATAGTACCTACCTCCTAGGCTAGAGGATTAAGTAGGTTAATATTTGGGAAGTGCTAGAACACTGCCTTGCATATGGAAGGACCATGTAAATGTTTGTTAAATAAAGAAAAGGGAAGGGAGGTATCACTCAAATGCCTTAGCAGCTGTGTCAAGCTGAGCCAGACACTGCCATAGGAGGTGTGAGGATCCAATCTGGTATCATGGAAATATCTTTGAGATTCACAGCCTACCAGATGGCCACTGAGAATAGAATCAAATAGTAACCACATTTACCGAATCCAGAGGAGCAGTAGGGTGGGAGTGGAAGCCTCAACAGACCTGAAAAGTAGGAAATATGGGATTGA